GGTGTCTGCATGTGTGTGTGTGCATGTGTACATGTGTGTGGGTGTGTGTGCACATGCATGTGCATGTGTATATATGTGTGTGTCCCTGTCAGTCTATTCATCTATCTCCTGGCTGTGTTTCTCTTGCCACCTCTCTCTATAAGGAGAAAATAGGAATATTGATGGATGATCCATAGATGATAGTTAGATAGATAGACAGACAGATAGATAGAAGTAGACAGGAGAGTTGAGTCTCTCCTTTCCCCACCTGGCCTTTCTGCCTCTCTTTTCTGTCCTCCATCTTCCTCTCCCTCACCTTTCCACTCCTAAAGTTGGGAACATGAGTCACTCCTCCATCAGCACCACTTTCGTCCAGGCCATTGTCATTGTCCACTTGTCCAACTCAACAGCCGCATCACTTGTCTTCCCATGGCCTCTGTACTTGCCTTCCTCCCATCAATTTCCCACCCACCTGACAAAGTAAATGTGTAAAAATCCAAATCTGTCTGGCATTTCACTGCCTAAAGCCCGGAGGAAAAACAGTCTTCATCACAAAGCCCTGCCCACTCTCTGAGTGCACCCAGCTCCTGGTCTCTAGTACTACGAGGTTCTCCAGTTCCTTAGAGTCCTTCCTCTGACTCCAGGATCTCTGCACTTACTCTTCCCACTACCTGGGACCTCCCTCAGCCCTTTCCTCACACCTCTTCGCCTAGGTAACCCTTACTTATCCTTCACATCCCAGGGAAGCCTTCTCTGACTGCTAGAGCATCCATATAAGATCTCCTGGTCTGTGTTCTTTCATTTCTTTTACTGTCACTTTATAGCCCTTATCCAAGTGTACCTGTGTGTGCATGTATGTTGATTCACACCTATCTCTTGCACTTAACTTTTAAAATCCAGGAAAGCAGAGACTATCATATTAGAAACACCGTATGCTCAGAACCCAGCACAGTGGCTGCAAGCACACTTCTACTTTATTCTGGTCCCCACTGCTCCCGACAGCACTGTCAACTCTGAGTAATGTGTTAGCTGCAGTTTACATTTGTGTTGCTGTTTTTCCTAAAGAATTATTCCATTAGTCCACACCCTCTATCAAGGGATAGAGAAACGGAGCCCAAATCAGGAAATCCAAAGGTTCCAGGAAAACAGGAGATGGCTTCCTTCTTTATGGAAGTGAAGAATGTACAATATTTCTGCCTCGTTCATGTTTATTATCCACCCAGACTTTTAGGCATTGGAGTTTACAACTCCTCCCTGCACAATCTGTTTACGTCTCTACTATATTTGTTTGTGAATTCATTTAAGATTTATTTCTGGACCACTGTCTGGCACTGCACTGGGAATGCAGCGGAGGAGAAAGCAGTTGAAGACGCTGCTTTCCTGCATGACAGTGTGTGGCAGTTTTCTGGCGTGTACTTGACCTTCCGCTAGCCTGAGTACCCTGATGGTATCAGTACAAGATCATGTTACTTTGGACTCATTCCCAAATTATCGGCCTCTGAGCCTTAGTGTTCTTGCCTGTAAAATGGGGCTGAACACTGCACCTTCTCTCCAGTGTCATGGTGAGTAGAAAATGAGTTGCAAAAACAGGTCCTTAGTAAGCTCTCAGTAACTCTCAGTTCATGATAACAGCACTCTCCTCTGTGCCTGCAGCAAGCCCAGCACCTGGGCACACAACCCGGACAGTCTCCAGCGCCCACATGTGCTTTAACTCTCTGTTGTCTCCATCTTCAAATTCTTAACAATTTTTGAACAAGGGACCCCACATTTTCTTTTTGCATCAGGTTCTACAAATTATGTGACAAGCCCCGACCAGCACACATAAAGCGTCCAGTGAAAGTTTGCTGAAACAAAAGATAAACAAATGGACCCAGCCCTCCGCACAAACATGCCATTAACCTACCGAGCCAGGCAAGCCAGTCAGCCTTCGAGCAGAACTAAATAGACTTTTATTGGTAAGAGACCCTGCCCCTTCTTTAGGACCGAGAACACCCAAAGCCTGACCCAAGACTTCAGGGATATTCTCATCCAAGCTATCCATTTCCCAGGAGACTCAGGCCTTGACCAGCGGCCAAGGATCCTGGTGGAACCAGAACAGAACCCAGTCCAGCCCCTCATCATCCAGAACCACAGTCTGCAGTGTCTTCAGCACCCACTGCCTCTCTCTCTGCTCAGTACCCTGGGGACAAAGGCATTCCTGCTTTCCTTCATCCCATTTCGCAGATGGAGAGATAAAGGCTTGGGCAGAGTAGAGTTCCTCCATACTCCTCACACAGCCCAATCCTATGCCCAGCCTACTATTATAAAGAGTGTCTTGCATGGGGCCTCATTTCAAACCACCGGACCCATTTTTGGATTGGCTGGTCAGACAAAATAGTTGCATGCTAAATCTGAGACTATGATCCCAACCCCAACAGCATCCTGTGCTCTGACACTCTGGGCTGCAAAAACAAAGACAAACTCATCTTCTGGCCTGTACGTGCTCTTGGGTAGTGGGTACTGGACTTTTGTTCTTTCCATGTTGTGGGCAGAGTCTGCAACATACAGGAGCTGTGTGAAGCTGGGAAAGAGCCAGGGAGACAGCAGATAGCACCTTGCCCTTCTGAGGTAGAAATACATAAGTAACACGATATATTTCTTTAAATGTATATGATACACTAAACCAATAGAGAATAAGCAAGCAGAGGAGGGACAAAGGAAGTGGAATCATTCAGGGTAAAGAGGGATATAGATTTCAATTTTGAATATGGCTGGCAAAAAGAACCTCAATGAGAAGTGGACATATAAGCAAAGACTTGAAGAGGGGAAGAATGGAGGCCATGCAGCTTTCTAAAGGAAGAGCATTCCCAACAGAGAAAACAGTGCAAATGTCCTGAGGTCTTATTATTGGTTCACAATGTAGGGAGATCACTGAAAAGACCAGGGGCTCTGCCAAATCATACATATTCCTTCCACATCCCCAGCTCCTCGACTCTGTCTAGCCACTTACACAATCTAATAAGATGAGATAAATCTAATCTATAGGCTTTTGAGCAATTATTTATTGAACCTCTATGATGATAAGGCACTGCCTCCTATATCAACACAGTGGGTTTTCATTTCATTTTTTGCTTGGGGTAGTCACATTCAAAATAGCTAAAGACAGGATTTTGAATGTTCTCACCACAAAGAAATGATACATGATTAAGGTGATGGATGTGCTGATTATCCTGATTTGATCATTATGCATTGTATACATGAATCATAACGTCATGTCATACCCCATAAATATTCACGATTGTGTGTCAATCAAAAATAAAACAAAAAATTAAACGAGAGGTCACCATAAAATTTTGATATCTGATAGAGCTTGAAACATCAGACCAGGCTTCATTGTGCCCATGTGACTGTAATAATCTGTCCTTTCAAGGGGCCAGGTGGCTGCCGGACCCTGCCAGGTCCAAGTCCCTCTTTCCCTCCCCCCCTGCGCACACTTACTGGCTCTGTCTGACTCCAGGCCCTCCACACCCCGAACCCCTGCCCAGGGAGCGCCTAACAAAGATAGGGAGAGGACACGCGTCCCTTGCTGGGCCTGCGAGGCAGGGGTTCCACCCACCTCGGGAAACCTGGAGGAGGCTGGGCAAAGCCTAGCCAGAGACTTTTCTCCAGAAACAGATGTTACTGGGGGTGGAGGTTACGAGAGGAAAACGGGGAAACTTAGACTCCTCCGAGGCAGTCATAAGCCCCAGCGCTGGCAGCCGCCACAGCTGCTCCGGCAAATGCTTGCCGGGGGATTTCTGCAGAATCTTGAACTGTATCCCACACGCGCTGTCTTGAGCCGAGGACAGGCGCCTGTGCTGGCCCTGAGAAGCGCTGCTCTTGGAACCCACCACCGGCCCACCTCGAGGGGAAGGGTGTGCTCCTCCACTGCACCGCCCGGACCCCACCTGCTCCAGGCACCCTATCCTTCACCTCACTTCCGACGCTCCAGACCACCCCCTACGCCCCCACGTGCATCTTTGTGCATGAGGGGGGCTCGGCGTGAGCGTGCCCTTTGTGTGATTTTCTTGCGTCTTCCTAGGTGTGGGATGAGCGGGCAGCAGCGTGCGTGAGTACTGGTGTGACCGGGTGTTGTGTCTTTGTGTGAGCGTGAGTGAGTGACCGAGGGGGTTGCAAGAGGCGGGCTCCCCCTCACCAGCCTGCATCCCCTCCATGCACACTCCAGCCTGGGGGCAGGTCCACCGCCGGCGCCCCCAGAGCCAACGCAGCCCCACACTGCACGCGCCCTCCCCTTCCCAGCAGCAAGCCCAGGTCCGGCGAGCCCGCAGACCTTGAGCCTCCTCGCGGCTCTCACAGCCTCCCCCTCCCCCAGGCCGGGGACGCACAGTGCGGTGTAGAGGAAGATGGACTCGAGGCATTGGCGAGGGGAAAGACATCGCGGCTGGGAGAGGAGTCAGAAAAGGCAGACTGGGGACAGGCTGGAGGAGTAAGGAGGCGCTGCGGGAGAAGCAGGTCCTACCCACACCACGCCCCTCCCGCAGGGTGGGGTGCGGGGAGGGGGCCTGTTCTCCTCCCCATCTTCCTCCCGGGGCTCCAGGTACAGCCCCATCTTCGCCCCTGACTCTGGAACCGAGAAAGGCAGCGGAGCCCCCCCTTCCCCCATCCATCCACCGACACCCCCCACACGCACACCCCACATCCCACATCCAGGCAGCTGCTGATTGGCTGCGGGAAGTCTGTCCCAGCCCCAGCGCCGAGGCGGGAGCCAAGCGGTCCGAGGTGGGAGGTGCACAGTCGGGCGCGGGAGCCCCTCCCGAGTCCGCGCGCCCGGCACCCTGCGCCCTGCGCGAGGGCCCAGCCGGACTCCAGGCGGGCAGGTGCGGAACGAACAGAGGGGACCAGGGCCAAGCGTAGAAGCAAGTCCTGCGGGAAGAGAGGCGCCGCCGCTCCCCCTGACTGCTGCCTCTGCCGCCCGCCACCGCCTCCGAGCCGGTCCGGAGTCGGAAGGCAGGCAGGGCGCGGGGGCGGGGCGCGGGGCGCCCATGGAGCACACGCACGCCCACCTCCCCGCTGCCAACCGCTCGCTGTTCTGGTCCGCCGGCTCGGCCTGCGGCTTGGGCTTCGTGCCCGTGGTCTACTACAGCCTCTTGCTGTGCCTCGGTTTACCAGGTGAGAGGTGGGGAGAGGGAGGGAAGCTGGGATTCCCAAGCGCGGAGTGACCCTGCCCAGAACCCCCAGCCTCCTTTCCCTGAGTTCCCTGGCGCCCCCTCGGAAAAAGTTTAAGCCTTAAGGACAACTGTGGAGATTTCCAGACTGGGAGGAAAGGAAGTTGCCTGACAGAGATGGGACCGTGTGTGTGTGTGTGTGTGTGTGTGTGTGTGTGTGTGTTGTGTTCCATGAGTGTGTGCAGCAAGTTATGGGAACTGGATGTGAGTTGATGTGAGTGTCTGTGGATTCCAGCATGCATTTGTGTGCACGGCTGGATAGGTTGTGTGTGTGATGGGGTCCACCGAGGCTGTGTGTGACTTGACTGAAGGTTCTGCACAGAAAGCTGGTGCAGGCTTCCCTTCTCCCCCCACCCCGCCCAGCGGTGGACGCTTCTGCTGCTCTGCCCCTCCGGCGTCCCTGCCTGACCCAAGATAAAGCTGGAGACACTGGTGCTGGACACTTGCGCGGGGAGCACTGCCATGCACCCTTGCTGACCACCCTGAGCAGAAAGCGGTCTCTGCTGCCAAGGCCACCAGCTCAGGGGGTCACAGTCTCCTTGAGGATATGCTTGGCCCCCTAGCTTTGCCTCCAGCACACACATGCACAGGTACACACACACACACACACACACACACACACACACGCACACGCCATCCCTGGGCAGCAGCTCGTAGCTGCTGACTGGTCCCCATCTCCCTATCTTAATGTCCTCTCCAAAGTGTGGCTGAGACTTGTGTTGAATTCCTGGAGAGAGCTGAGCTGCTGGGGTCTAGAAGGGAGTGCGAGAAACTCGCCAGGGCTGTGTGCAAGAGTGAGGGGCAGGGAGAAGGGGGAGGACTCCTGAGATTCTGGCTTTGACTGGCCCCTTCTTCCACACAATCTCCACAGCAGAAAGATTCCCAAAGATCACTTGCCCACAGAGGGGAGAGAGCAACAGAAAGGACTAGAAAGGGGAAAAGCCAGCATCCACGCTAGAATCTACCCTATCATCGCCGGTCTGTGAACCAGAGCATCTTAGGATCCTGGGAGCTCAGGGGTCGGATTTCTGAGAGCCTTGCTGAGCTTTCCTTTCAAAGCATTCAGCATGGTAGCTCATGAGACTGCTTCAGTCACCCTCCCTCCCCAACTTTAACAGGCACCAGAAAGCACAAGTGTCTGACCTGGGAGCCCTCCCCCAATCCAGTGAGGGAACAGGCCTTTGTGCTTAGCTAAGGGCTCAGCTGCCCTCGACAGGAGCCCACATCTGATGCCCCCTGCCAGGGTGGCAGCACACCTCCTGTAATTTACCCCAACCTGGGATCGATTTCAGCCTAGCTTGTGCCTGCCCTCCTTCCCTCCCCAGAGCGCTCTTTTGGGAAATGAGTTTTTGAGAAGGTTGGTTTTGGGAATGGTTGCCGAATGAGAAGCAACAGAACTTTTTTCCCCTCCGCCCGCTCATGCTCATCGGGAGGTATCTGACCCTATTCCCTCCCACATCCGTCTCTTCTACTGCCGGAGCTGGCTGTTCACTCGCTGCCGCAGGCTTTTCCTCTGCAAATGCTTTAAGGGACAGAACTTAAGGACAAGGGACAAGCCATCCTCCCAGAATCCCAAGCCTGGACATGAGAGTGGGCAGAATGAGGGGAAGCTCAGGTCCACAAAGACTTCAATGGGGAAGGAAGTCAGAGTGCCTTGGACCCTCGCAACCTAACTCCTGTGCCAGCCAGAGCCTTCCTGACCCACAGCACTGGCATCTATATCATGCCAGGCTCGATGCTAGGCCTGCCCTTCCCCTGGGCTGGGGGACTTATGAGAGAAGGCTTGGGATTAGAAGTCGGAAGGTGTTTATAATGTTCGTGCAGTCAGCTAATAGTTGTGAGCACGTGCTGTGTGCAGGCGTTAAGGATGTGCCGAAGGACCTCAAGTGTCCTCGTGGGTAGCTCATGCACTCAGAGAGCTCACGAGTGGAAGCCTCAGTTCCAGAGGCAGCAGATGAATGCAGAAAGGCTGAGCATCCCGGAGAAGCATAACTGGGGAGGCTAGGCTCACCCAGAAGTCAGGGGCTGCAAGCAGTTTGGTTAATAGCCTTCTAAGTTAGGTCCAAAGTAAGATTCTTCTGTGATTCTTCTAGACCTGTAAGAGGAGCCAAGTATGTCCTATCAAATAAGAGTACTGACTGAAGGTTAACCCATGCTCTGCTGCGGTTACATAGGAGGGAGTCTTTTGTGTCTCTGTGCCTCAGTTTTCTCATCTGTAAAATGGGATAATGGGAGGCACTAATCCTGGAATTCAGGTGAGAAGCAATGCTGGTGGCACTGATAGTGCAGGTCATGAGAACAGTTCGGTGCTCGGCACATGCACTGGTTCATGCAGTGTGGCCGCAGCTGTGGCTGCCACAACGCTGACTGGGTGGCCAGGAGGAGGGGGCTGCTTAGCCCCATCAGCAGAGCGCCCTGGGGTGCACAGAGGACAGCACTCAGCATGGCATGCTCTCGCTCCTGCAAGTTCGCTGCAGTAGTCCCCACATCGGCCCCAGCCAGCAGCAATTAGCAAACCCTCACTACCTCACCACTGACAGCAGCGCAGCCCTGCTGGGTGTGAAGTAGAGGACCACAGGCCTCCAGAACAATGTTGGAAACTATGGTTTTAATTGAATCACTGTTCCTGTCAGTGAGCTCACCCCAAGTTTTCTAAATTGTTGGGGTGGTGCTAGGAGACGTGGGTGGAAACCGAGGAATGGATGGGAAGCGGCTGAGTGCTTGCCATGGGAGAGCCAGTAATTAGGGGGAGTGGCAGGTGTCCTTGGCTGTCTGCAGTCCCTGAATGGGGAGGAAGAGCTTAGGAGAACCTTGTGGGCCACTCTCTTGATTTAAGGAATTGTGCCACATAGTGTAACTCAGTTGGCTTAGCATGGGATCCCAGGATTTCTAATGGGGATTACGGGCAGAGGAGGCTAAAGCAGAAGGATCACAAGGTCAAGTCCCACCCGGACAACTTAACAGGTCCTTGTCTTGAAATTAAACAGTAAAATAAAATAAAGGGGGCTGGGGACATAGCTCAATGGTAGGTTTAATCCTCAGTATTACAATCAATCAATCAATAGTTTTAAATAGGAGTAGAAGTTGTCACTTATAAATTCTCCACCTCTGAGGACCACAGTTTGCCCCATCAGTAAAATGGGAATAACAGTTGTTCATAATGACCCACATATTAAATAAGATGATCTATGTAAAATATCCAAGCATAGTGGCATTCACCTGTCGTCCATTGTCCCAGTTATGCAGGAGGCTGAGACAGGAGGCTGAGACAAGAGGCTCACTTGAGCTCAGAAATTCAAAGCTACCCAGGCTAACCTAGGAAGACCCCATTCCAGAAAAAGGAAAAAATAAGAAAGAAAGCTTTCAAGTTGTGCCTGGTCTAAGGAAAGCATTTTTTCCTCATTTCCTTCTCCACACCAAATTTTTTCTACTTATGCTATGGCACTGTTTCTCTATCACAACCCTGTGACCTATACATGTCTCTAGCCCATTTTATAGATGAGCAAACTGAGATCCAAAGAAGTAAAGCATCTGATCTACAGTGAGCCAGTCAAACCAGCACCCAGACACACCTGCTCTTTTAATTGCTCTCGCCACATTCGTTACACCTGGGCTCATGCTGTGGGAAGAATGGAGAACATTGGTACTGGACCCATTCCTAAAACCCTGTCTCATTCTCCCTCTTCCTCCTTTTGGTTTTGGTTTTGGTTTTGGTTTTGGTTTTGAGTTGCTGGGGATTGAACACATGGCCTTGTCACTGAACTAAATCCCTAGTCCTTTTGATTTTTTATTTTGAGACAAGCTCTCACTAAGTCACTAAGTTGCCCAGGCTGTCTTCAAACTCGGAATTCTCCTGCCTCGGCCTCTCAAAGTACCGTGATTACAGGTGTGCACCACCAGGCCCAGCTTCCTCCTCTCCCTTTATTAAGTAAGCATGATACTTCTCACTCCTCAGGACACATAGAATAAGCCAGCAGATGCAGGGTGATACCAGCATTCTTGTAATACCAGCGTGAAGGGAGATTGAGGCAGAAGGACCGCAAGTTCAAGCTCAGCCAGTACAATTTTTGTGAGACCTTGTCTCAAATTTTAAAAAAATAAATAAAAAGGACAGGGGATGTAGCTTTGTGGTTGGACAGCCCTGGGTTCAATGTCTGGTACCAAAAAAGCTTCAGCAGAGCTAACACTGGGGACCAGACAGATGAGCCCGACCGCTTGGGGAAGACAGCAGGTGGGATGATGAGCCGGCCCGCCCGACAGGGCCCAACAGTGCAGATTAAACTGAGAAGGGAAAGATTTTTTTGTTAATTTTACTTTCTGAAAGGTGCCAGAGATGTTAAGGAAGACAGGTTGAGGAAGGGAGCACTAGCTTGAAACTGCCTGCTGCCGGCAGACGGGATATTTCTGAGGAGCTGGGCCGGGCAGACAAGATCTGGAACAAGAGGACATGAAGGGGATGAGGAGTCCTTGGGCCGCAGGTAGTGAACCCGCTGACAGCTGGCAGTTACCGGGGTTATTACCCAGAGGTGGAAAACTGACAGCCTGGACCACACTGAGCTCTGCACGTATACTTTCTCTAGCCTTTAAACATTTTTAATTAGAGAAAATGTAGCAAACACTTCTACTAAGACTGCACCTCAGGAGCTGGGTGTCTGAGGGCTGCCGGCTGCTCACAAGCTGTGCGACTGCAGGCGAGTCACTTCAGTCCATGCCCCAGTTCCCCCACCTGCACGGTGACAGTGACGGTGATAACAGCCAGGGCTTTGCAGAGTTGCTGTGAAGATTAAAGTAAGCGTCGAACACAATGCCTGGCATGCAACTGTGTTTTCATCTTTTAAAAAAGTAGGGAAAACTCTCACCTTGTTTGATAAGAGGAAACCAAACGCATCACAAGAAGAGAAAACTTCAGCCCAATAATCCTCATGAACATAGGCACAAAAATCC